ATCTGACCGATAGCAAGGTTATCCGAGGTATCAAAGGTGCTTGAAAAGCTCGTTCATTCACAACTTTCGTCCTATCTCGACCGCCGCAAGCTGCGTGATCCATGGCAGGCCGAATTCATGAGGTTTTACAGCACTCAAACTGCACTCCTGGGTGTCCTTGATGATATCCGCAGAGCCACAGGTGTGTAAAATTACAATCCTCGTCCTGCTGGATTTTTCCAAGGCTTTTGACGTTATTTTCCATGGTCGTCTGATGGTCAAGCTCAGGGACCTATGCCTGTCTGATACTGTTTTGAGATGGTTCTTTAGCTATCTAACTGACAGGTTTCAGGCTGTTGTGGGGGAGGACGGCAGGGTATCTGACTGGCTCAGGGTTGCTACTGGAGTGCCGCAGGGTAGTATTCTGGGACCATTGCTACTTTCAATCTATATCTCGGACCTGCCCTCTGTTCTCTCCTTCATGAATTACATGCTTTACGCCGACGACACACAGGTCTACCTTCACTGTCATCCCTGCAGCTTTGCGGAGGCTTTGGAGAGGGCGTAAGCTTGATGTGCAGGTTATAGCGCACTGGGCATAAGAAACAGTATAGCTCTTAACCTCACCACGACCAAGGTCATGATACTAGGCAGCGAACAGTAAGTTCGGGCTATCAACTTGAACGACATCGTGAAGATCACCATTAACGAGGTTCCACTCTACTATGTTATCAGTGCTCGCAACCTGGGTGTGATACTTACTCCCATGTTCAATTGGTCCGAATATGTCAGAAGCGAGACGAGGTTCTCTGGCTTCACTCCGCTTCCACAGGAAATCCTTCTCGATTACCCTTAGAAAGTTCTTGTCGAGCAGTTCATTTTCCCACATTTCGATTACCTGTCAGTGGTCTGTATTCAGCTTGATGGATAGCGCTCGTCTAAGTTTCAAGTTGCCCAAAATGCCTGCGTACACTTCGTAATAGGATGGATCCCATATATACCTACTCTGTCCCTAAACAGCCACATCACTCACCATAGATTAGCCCTAGGCTGGCTATCCTTTATCCCAAATAGGTATAGAGCCCACGCCGTTCTGGCCTACTCTGTTGTGCCCAGAAAATCGCCACACTATCTAGTTAAAGACCTGTCTGTCCTGCTTGATAGTGTCATTATTCGGCGCTCGGATCGCCATCCACTGTCGGCGTTTGAATACAAGGCCCCTCGAACTGAGGCCTGAAACCATTCATTTGCGATCCTTGCTCAGAGAATACTCAACTCATTGAGCGTGACCCTGTTATTCACCGATCGGATATCAGACTTCAAGGATTGGACATGTGATCTATTTTTAAATTATGACGCTAGAGCATGGATTGAGAGGGCGACTCGCGAAAAATTGATGCCAGTGCTGGCACTGTCCGATTACACTCATATACCAAATAAGATCAATCCAGTCGCGTTCTCCCAAAATTATCCAGCATCCCACAAATATCCCTCTATCGACCTTTGGTTCATGAAATAGCTAATTAAACTTGGTTGTTTTTAGCCAAATGCACGTTGCTCAAATTTTATACCTTCCTTCTTTTAGACCGTTTTTCTGTAAAATAGCGCTTTCATTACTTTTACTATTTTCATTATTTGTTACTACTTTTATTATTTTTATTGTTCTTATTATTTTTATTATTTTTATTACTTTTATCGTCTTTATTATTTTTATTATTTTTCATCGTTTATTATTGTTATTTTTGTTGTTTTATCTGTTATTTCAATTATTTTGTTCTTTATATTTTTTTATTTTACTATATTTTACATATTTTATCCTATTTTTTATTTTACATACATTGTGACGGTAATCGTCAAGTTAGCGCTAATCATTTAACCTTATTGTTGTCCGTGAGGGCAGCACCTCCCAGGGGGGACAAAAACATGTAACGAAGGAATTCGGCACGCGAGCAGACGGAACGCGCGCGACAAGATTCGAACTAGTGAAGCATCGACCTTTGTTGTGTCCGCCCGTTTCGCTATCGTATCGCCGCTGATCCACGTGCCTTCGCTGACCGTACATCAGATCGACGAGAGAACCACAGCAGATACAGCCGTGATAACCGCCATCCAGGAGCCAGACGTCCGATCACCTGAGGCCAGGACGAGTGAACGAGTGTGTGTATGAGGTTTCGCCATCGAGGGCGAAACCATAACGTGCGCGCGTTCGCGACCGGCAACAAAAACAATACGATTAACTGTTCCGTACTGTGCAACCCGTCATAGTGTTCTCCGGTCGCAGATAAGTAAGGTAAGCTGGCCAGCTTAATTACGCGTTCGGAATTACATGAATGAATAATAACTCGATGCTAACATTCGATGCGTGCATATAGCGGCTCTAGCGACAAAGAGCAGCGAGCGTACCGGCAAAGCGTATTGCCGATGAGCGAGCGTGTATGTAAACAAACGCGCGGGCCGACCTTTTGTGAGTTTTAAGGAAACAATAAAAGATCTGATTTAGCTTACTAACAAGTGTTTTCGTTAATTCTCTCATTTCTCATAGCTTCTACTCAATTCCGAATAGGTTATTAATGATTACAGGTTGACTGAGGCATACTTTCTCGTGCTCCCCGAATTCGTATTGAGCATTGATAGATACGCGTGTCCTTTCGAATATAATTACGCGATTTAATTAAATAAACGGTTATACCCCGTTACAACATATTCTTAGTCTTCTTACTGTTATTGCCATTGCACGAGGGGGGGTCAAAAAGTCTACAAAATCCAAGAAATGGCGCTCGTCGCGCTTAAATTATGATGTTTCGGCACGATTCATTAAGTCGTTTTTTTGTGAGCGTTGGTTGAACAAAAAGTTATTGGTTTATTTGAAAAATGGAAAAAAACAGAGTTTCGAGCGGTGATAAAACATTTTCATTTGAAAGGCCTTACACCAAAAGAAATCACAGTTCAGTTGAACGCCGTTCATGGCAAGTCTGCCCCTGTGTTTAAAACTGTTTATGACTGGGTAAATGAATTTAAACGCGGCCGTACAAAAACAAAAAATGAACCTCGTTCAGAACGCCCCGTAGAAGTGAGTATGCCCGAAATGGTCTACAAACTTCACGATATGAAATTGAATGATAGACGATTAAAATTGCGGGAATTAGTTGAGCCTACAGGGGTATCAAGGGTACAATACTTTCAATTTTCCATGAAAAATTGGGGATGAAAAAAGTATCAGCAAGATGGGTGCCGCGTTTGCTCACTGTTGAAAACAAACGAACCCGCGTGGTCATCTCTGAGGATCTTTTGGCACGCATACGTCGTAATCCGGAAGACTTTTGGCGTCGAACACCACTATACTCTTGAAACCAAAGAATAGTCCAAACAATGGATTACCGTAGGAGAACCAGTCCCAAAGAAGGCAAAGACAGTAAAGTCAGCTGGCTGGCAAGATTATGGCCACGGTTTTCTGGGATGTGTATGGAATCATCTACATCGACTATTTGGAAAAGGGCCAGACGATCACTGGATAATATTATGCGTCATTATTAGGTCAGCAGAAAGAAAAAATCAGAGAAAAACGTCCTCCTGTGAACAAAAAAAAATGCCTCTTTCTTCAAGACAATGCTCGAGTTCACACGTGTGCAGTTTCGATGGCAAAAATGAACGATCTAAAGTTCGAATTAATTGACTATCCACCATATTCGCCAGATTTGGCTCCCAGTGACTTTTCCTTATTTTCTAACCTCAAAAAATGGCTTGCCAGACAACGATTCACGTCGAATGAAGAAGTCATCACCGAAACAAATGCCTATTTTGAGGGTTTTCAGAAATCATATTTTTCTGATGGCTTAAAAAAACTGGAAGGCCTTTAATCTAAATTCATCTTCTTTAAATAGTTAAATACGTTACTATTTTTTCTTGCATCTCTTCTTTTGTCATTTTTAAATTTTGTTATTGTTTGATTTATACATTTTCTAAACTGCCAGACGGGGTCCCACCTCATTGGCGCAATAAACGAACTAATCTAATCTAATCTCTCTCTCTCTCTCTCTCTCTCTCTCTCTCTCTCTCTCTCTCTCGTCTGTTTATCTCATTCGCGATGCCAGAGTGACCGAGGTAAGCAGGCGCTTATTCTGATGATTCTCTTGGCTATCTTCTTTTTTTCCTCCTCCATCTTCTAGTTGCTCTGCCAATGTCCACGACACCTCGCGAAGTAAAACCAAACGTAAGTGTGTCTCACAGTTCAATATATAAACTGTGAAAACTGTGTAATTATAATCCAAATTTTCAATAATTTAATGTAAATAACTAATTTTATGAATTAAACCAAATTAATAAATATTTCAGAAGTTAATGATATATTGATAAGTTTTTATTGATTAATTTTTTTATATAAAAAATTATACCTACTAAAATTCCTGTTTAAATATCTAAGATGTAATAGGTTTCAATGTTATCAATGTTTGTTAAATTAGTAAAAAATATAGTATGAGCGACTTTTTTCATTTTCGCAGGCATTTTTTAGTATTTATACTCCAAGCAAGAAAAACATTTCCGGAAGCTGTATTATTGTAAAAAAATTCCGCAATTTCCTATATCTCAAAATGTGCATTTTTTGTAGATTTATTCATACGGACAAATCCTCCGTCATAACTCTTAACTCGATCTATATTTTATGTAGAACTTTGAACGTTCAATATGTTACAAGTAGAACGGTGTAACTTGGCTCTATATCATGACAAATGATATTATAATAATAATATTAGTAATTTTATCAAGAGTTCATCAATTTAATGTAATTTAATGTGTTAATGATAAAATTTGAATTTTTCTAATAACTATTTTAGTAAAACTTTAGTAAAACTTTGAAATAAGATTTTATGTCTACAGTAACACGCTTTATTATTTATTTTTATCTTGTATTTATGTCTTCCATATATTTGATAAAAATATTTTATAGATCTTATCTTAGAATAGTTATATGTAATGTACTTTTCTTTCTTAAAAAAGGCATTAATTTGTTTTTATAATTACAGATAAGATTACAAAGTTCAAGATATCAAGTTGGTTTGGATAAACAAGGATCTAGTACTTACAGAAACTTACTAACAAAATTGCCATCTGGAAAGGCATCATTAGAGTTGGCTTATGAATCTATAGAATCTAAAATGAAAGAAATCGTACACTACGTTGAACAGTGGTTAAGATATCAGTCGTTGTGGGATTTGCAGCCAGATAATTTATACGGAAAGTTAAATGATGATATCACAGCGTGGATGAAATGTTTGAATGATATAAAAAAAACGAGAACAACTTTTGATACTTCAGATACTAGAAAAGAATTTGGCCCAGTAATTATTGACTTCGCTAAAGTTCAAAGTAAAGTATCTCTTAAATACGACTCATGGCATAAAGAAACATTAGGAAAATTCGGTACACTTCTTGGTAATGAAATGACCAGTTTTCATGCCCAAGTTTCAAGATCAAGAAGTGATTTAGAGCAACATTCTATTGATACCGCAACTACATCAGATGCTGTTAGTTTTATAACTTATGTTCAATCTTTGAAACGGAAAATGAAAATATGGGAAAAACAAGTAGAAATTTACAAAGAAGGTCAAAGAATTTTAGAACGTCAAAGATTCCAGTTCCCTGTACAGTGGTTGCATGTTGATAACATTGAAGGTGAATGGGGAGCTTTTAATGAAATAATTAAAAGAAAAGATACATCTATCCAAACACAGGTTGCATCATTGCAATTCAAAATAGTGACTGAAGATAAAGCTATTGAAACTAGAACTACCGATTTTTTTAATGATTGGGAACAAAGTAAACCTGTAGAAGGTCATTTGCGACCAGATGATGCACTACAGCAATTGCAAATTTTTGAAAATAAGTTCGCACGACTTAAGGAAGAACGAGATAATGTTGCTAAAGCTAAAGAAGCATTGGAACTTCTAGAGCCTGGTACAGCTTCTTTGAATGAAGATCGCATGCAAGTAGTTTTCGAAGAACTTCAAGATTTGAAAGGTGTCTGGTCTGAACTTTCTAAAATTTGGGCTGAAATTGATGAAACACGAGAGAAACCATGGTTATCTATCCAACCTCGAAAACTTCGTCTGCAATTAGACACAATGCTTTCTCAATTGAAAGAATTACCAGCAAGACTTAGGCAATATTCTTCTTATGAGTATGTTAAAAAAACATTGCAAAATTATACAAAAGTAAATATGTTAATTGTTGAATTAAAATCAGATGCACTGAAAGAAAGACACTGGAAATTACTAATGAAACAATTAAAAGTTAACTGGTTACTGAGTGAGCTTACTTTAGGTCAGCTGTGGGATGTCAATTTACAAAAGAATGAAGGCACTGTAAAAGATATTATTTTAGTAGCTCAAGGTGAAATGGCATTGGAAGAATTTTTAAAACAAGTTAGAGAATCATGGCAAAACTATGAATTAGAATTAATAAATTATCAGAACAAATGTCGTCTCATAAGAGGATGGGATGACTTATTTAATAAAGTTAAAGAACATATCAATTCTGTAGCTGCAATGAAATTATCTCCTTATTACAAAGTGTTTGAAGAAGAAGCTCTAACTTGGGAAGAAAAGCTCAATAGAATAAATTCACTTTTTGACATTTGGATTGATGTCCAACGAAGATGGGTTTATTTAGAAGGTATTTTCTCAGGCAGTGCTGATATTAAAACTCTTTTACCAGTAGAAACTTCTAGATTCCAAAGTATTAGCACTGAATTTCTAGGGTTAATGAAAAAAGTTTCTAAATCTCCAATGGTGATGGATATTTTAAATATACCCGGTGTCCAACGATCTCTTGAACGTCTTGCTGATCTGTTGGGGAAAATACAAAAAGCATTAGGAGAGTATTTAGAAAGGGAAAGAACATCTTTTCCTAGATTTTACTTTGTTGGTGATGAAGATCTATTAGAAATAATTGGAAATAGTAAAAATATTGCTCGACTTCAGAAACATTTCAAAAAAATGTTTGCAGGCGTTGCCTCCATTTTACTGAATGAAGATAATACTACCATTACTGGAGTTGCTTCAAGAGAAGGAGAGGAAGTTATTTTTAAAAATCCGGTATCAACAACAGATCATCCAAAAATTAATGAATGGTTGACTTTTGTAGAGAGAGAAATGCGTCTTACATTAGCATCTAACCTTGCACATGCAGTGCAAGACATAAAAACATTAAAAAATGATAATATCAATTCCCAGGCACTCATGTGTTGGTGCGATCGATATCAAGCGCAAATCATTATTCTTGCTGTTCAAATACTTTGGTCAGAAGATATTGAATCTGCTTTACAGGAATCTCAAGATAATTCTATAAGAGATCCTCTAGATCGAGTGCTCCTTCAAGTAGAAAGTACTTTAAATATTTTAGCGGACTCTGTACTTCAAGAACAACCACCATTAAGAAGGAAAAAACTTGAACATATGATAAATGAATTCGTCCATAAGCGTACAGTTACTAGAAGACTAATTTATAACAATATAACTAATCCTAAAGCTTTTGAATGGCTTTCAGAAATGCGATTTTATTTTGATCCCAAAAAAGAAGACGTATTGCAACAACTTACAATACATATGGCTAATTCGAAATTTTTTTACGGATTTGAATATTTGGGAGTGCAAGATCGACTTGTTCAAACGCCTTTGACAGATAGATGTTATTTAACCATGACTCAAGCCTTAGAATCTCGTTTGGGCGGATCGCCATTTGGACCGGCCGGAACAGGAAAAACTGAATCAGTTAAAGCTCTAGGACATCAATTGGGTAGATTCGTACTAGTCTTCAATTGCGATGAAACTTTTGATTTTCAGGTAAGAATTTCAATTGTTATATGAAGAAATGAGTTAATTATATGTATGTATGTATTTATGTATATATGTATGTATGTATGTATGTATGTATGTATGTATGTATGTATGTTTTTTTTTTTTTTTTTTTTTTTTTATTAAAGAGAGTTGGAGAATGCTTTATGCACGTAACGGCCTTCCGGCTCGTCCTGTGTGGGAATCCCTAAGCATGGTATACCCACTAAACTCCCATCTCTCTATGTCTTGCCTGTATCCCCCGCGGGAACCGCCGCTAGGCATTACTTCGCGGGGGGGCTTCTCCTATATTAGCCTTGTCTTCTTCATTACCTTTCGGCTGTGTCGTTTTCTTCGATCTTCATCGTCTTCGGCTATGTTAGCCTCGTCTTCTTCTTACGGCATCGATTTACACGTCTTCTTCCAACGGCATCGTCCGGTCGTCTTCTTCTATCGGCATCGTCCGGTCATCCTCTGGACAGACTCCACCTCGACACCTACGTTCCTCTGCATCGGGTGAGGGAGTCTGGGCTCAACCCAATGTCCTTTACTCTCCCGCAAAGGCAGGGGAGCCCTTAGGATAGGCTGGCGCCTTGTTATCCTATGGACATAGGTGACCCCAGATCCTACGTTCCTCTGCATCGGATGGGGTGACCGCGCTCTACCAACTACTCTGTGGTAGTTTAGGAGCGCTTTTTAGTCCCATAGTCTGGCACCTCGTTCTATCTATGCATGATAGACCTGTCGCGTCTTCTCTCTTCCTCCTTTCTTACTTCGGTCAGCCGGTTTACCACTGACGTGGCAAAGGTCACTACCGTTTCCTATCCCTCTGGCGAGCCGAGCAGGCAAGCTCCGAGCCCTTCGGGACTCATTGGATCATTCCACTCCGTGCGGAAATGCATCCGTTCTTCAGCGAAGCGGGGACACACAAATAGGACATGTTCTACGTCCTCGTCAGTGCCTGGACAGGCTGGGCATTCGGCACTCGCATAGACACCGATGCATTGGAGATAACTGCGGAAGCAGCCATGACCGGTGAGCACCTGTGTCAGTTGGAAGGTGAGGTGTCCGTGGCGCCTGCCTGTCCACTTGTCAATGTTCGGGATGATGCGATGAGTCCAGCGACCTTTCACTGCGTTGTCCCATTTTCTCTGCCATTCTCGCATTAAATTTTGCGTCCACCGTTTGCTGTGGACATGTCTATCAGCATTGTTCTCTTCGTTACGACCTCCTTCACGGTATATTTCTGCTCTGTCGCATGCTAGTAGGTCGATAGGCGCTATTCCAGCGATTACCGAGACTGCAATGTCCGATACAGTTCGGTATGCACGGGCAACTCGTAGCGCTGCTGCTCTGCAGGCTCTTCGACACGTCCCTCCGTAGCTTGCATTATTTCTTAGCGCATCTGCCCATATAGGAGCTCCGTAGAGAATTACCGAGCTTACAACCGACGATAGGAGGGTTCTGCGTGGTTGCTTTGGTCCCCCGACGTTTGGCATGATACCTGCCAACGCCCTAGCAACGTTAGTGGCTTTGACACCTGTTTTCGAGAGGTGTTCCTTAAACGATAGCCGCGCATCTAGTATAACTCCCAGGTACCTCACCGTGTCAGTCGACTGTACTCGCTTATTTTCCACCGTGAATGTGGCATACTTCCGAGCTTTCGTGCGGGAGATGAGCACCGCTTCCGTCTTTTCCGCAGCGAGACTGAGCCCATGCTCTTTTAGCCATCGGGCCACCACCTCGATGGAGGCGTTTCCTATATATTCTATTTCCTCAACGCTCTTTGCCGTGACCACTAGTGCTACATCATCGGCAAAAGCTATTATCTCTGTTCCCCTTGGGAACTGCTGTCTTATTAGACCGTCATATAGGACGTTCCATAGCAAGGGGCCAAGCACCGATCCCTGCGGCACTCCTCCCGTGATGTTGTATGAGTGTGTGCCATCGTCGGTGTTATAGTGCAGGATTCGGTTGCTTAAGTAGCTCGATAGGGCTCTACGCAAATACAGCGGCACCCTCAGTCCTTCCATGGCTGTCATAATGATGTCCCATCTTGCCGAGTTGAACGCATTTCGGATGTCTAATGCGATCACAGCGCACATGCGTCTTGCGCTCCGTCCTCCGCTAATGGCATCTTTGGCCAGGTCCACAACTCGACCAATAGCGCCTAAGGTTGAACGGCCTTTTCTGAAGCCGAACTGGTTTCCTGACAGGTCCCCCGCTTCGGCTATAACTGCCTCCAATCTGGCATGGATTACTCTTTCCAGCAGTTTTCCTATAATGTCCAACATGCACAGTGGTCTGTAGGACGAAGGCTGCTCGGGAGGCTTATTTCCCTTGGATAGCAGGACCAGTCTTTGCAGCTTCCACGAGTTTGGGAAATGTCCTTCTCGCAGGCACGCACTAAATGTATCGCGAATTATTTCCGGGGCATTCAGTGCTGCCGTCTTGATCGCAATTCCCGGTATCCCATCCGGCCCTGGCGCTTTCCGGGTTCGAATTTTCTTCGCGGCTACTATCAGTTCTGCTTGGGTTACTTCTGTAAACTCGGTTTCATCGTCTCTTTCCATTAGGCCTGTTTGTTCTGGTCTCTCCCGATGTCTTGGGAACAGATGTCGCACTACTCTGTCGAGGAATAATGGGCAAGATGGTGGTGCGCCACTCCTGGGCTTGATCTTGCGCATGACCGTTTTATACGGCCGGCCCCAGGGGTCCTTATCTACTTCCTCGCAGAAGTCTCGCCAGCACTGTCTCTTAGCTGCTTTGATGGTGACCTTGAGCAGTGATCGCAGCTCCTCATATTTTTCTGTCAGAGCCTGGAAGTTGGGCTTGTTCCGTGCTCTTTGATGGCGCCTTCTGGCTGTGAGACATTTATGTCTCAGGCTTGCGATGTCCTCGTTCCACCAATATACCGGTAGTCGACCTCTTGCGTTATTTTTTGCTGCCATGGATGCATCACATGCAGTTTTCAGAGCACGTGTGAGACCCTGCGCCTTTTCCTCCGCGGTTCCGGACACTGATGTTCCTTCGAGGGAGTAGAGAAATGACTCTCTGTCGAAGGTATTTGGTGCCCATCTCCTCTTGTTTTCCGTTGTTCTGATGGATACCGCTGGTTTGGTCAACTGGAGCCGGTACGTTATGGCTTGATGGTCACTGCCCGTGTACCGATCGGTGACTCTCCAGTTGAGCTCCTCCGTCAATAGTTTGGCATCTATGAAGGTAACATCCACTATGGACGATTTCCCCGCCTTGGAATAGGTCGGGATCGTTCCTCTATTAGCTACCTCGAGCTCCAATACTCCAAACGCCTCTAGAAGTGCATGCCCGCGAGCATTTGTTTTCGCGCTTCCCCAGTTTACGGCCCATGCATTAAAATCGCCTGCGATGACTACCGGTAGGCGTGATGTCATTGCGCTGGTAACAATGTCATCCAAGGATTTCTTAAACTCGCTTATCTCTTCGCTAGGTGGGAGATAGCAACTATATAGACGCATGCCAGCCACTTCTATCCACGTAAAGTTTGAGGTTGGATCGATCATTCTTGCCGATACGTGTAGGTGTCCGCATACCCAGACAGCCGCCCTACCAGTCGCATCTTTCACCCAGTTCGGCTCATCGAGATCACGGTACTTTTCGCTAACTATGACGATGTCGGCCCTTTCCTCCCTTACCAACTAGTGCAGCAGGTCTTGAGCCGCTGCACAGTGGTTGATTTGGAGTACTTTAGTCATTTTTAGCGTGAGGTCCCTCCGTCTTTGCTTCCGTACAGTCCGCTGCCTTATGCCCCTCCTTTCTGCACCTGAAACAATGCTTGGAGCGGTCTTCATCACTTTTGCAGGCCCTATGCGATGTGACCATTCTCCAGGCACCGGTAGCATCTTTGTGTCGGTGTGAAAGGCTGAACTCTACAATTCACCCATCCTATTCTCAGCTTCCCGTTTTCAAGTAGCTTTCTGGCCGCTGCTACCGGGAGCTGGATATGTGCCGCTTGTGTGCCGTTGTACAGTCCTCTGATTTTTATGCTGCTACTCGCAGCTGCCTCTGGTCCGATAACTGCAGCTACAGCTTCTATCACTTCCTCAGGTGTGGTTGTGTCATCCATGTCTTTGATCCTGAGGGTTTCCTTATCGGTCATCAGGTGGACTTCTGCAGACTTCTGTAGGATAGCCAGAACTGTCTCTTCGATATTTGGAGACGCCGTCCCTGGTTTCCCCAGTTCAAGGAGTAACTCTCCTGCTCTGGTGCGCCGTATTCGCGTAACTCGTTCTCCTATCTCCTTCATGTTTGGTGCTGCCTTGACCTTTCTCAGAATGTCGGCATACGACGTCCCGTCCAGTGCCTTGATCTTAATGGCTTCTGGGCGAGGTTTTCTTCGACTGGTCTTTCGGTGTTCTGACTCTGATTTTTCCTCTTCTTCTATCGTCATTATGCTGTTCCGTAGTCTTCTTCTTTTTTGTGGCTCTTCTTTTGGCTTCTGTCCACTCTTCTGTTCCGGGTTTCGACGCCCTTATTTCTTGCTCGGTTGTTTCTGCTTCGTCGGCCGGTGTCTTCTTCCCTTTCCTCGGCTTTTTGACCACTGGCGACTCTATTGGCGAATTTGGGTCCCGCTTTTTTCGCTTTTTCTCTGGTTTGGGGGACGTTTGCGTCTCTTCATCTTTTGCCGTTTTGTCGGCATTTTCCTTCGTACCACCTGCAGACCGTAGCTTTGCGTACTCATCAATAGTACTGTTTGCCCTTCTGGCCATGGTCTTTAATTCAGCGTGGAGGTTCTTTTTCTCCAGTATGAACTGCACCAGCTGTTTGACCTTCTTTTCTAAGCTCTTGAAGCATTTATCAGCTTCAAGTGCTTGCTCCTCCATATCTTCTCTCTCATTTGGTTTAGTTATATTGCTCATTTTGTTCCCACGAGTACCTAGGGAACTATCGGTCCGCTCCGACAGAGCCCCGGTTGCCGGAGTAAGGCTAATTACGAGGGAGTTTCGCCAGGTGCTCCCAAGGCTCCGTTT